CCACATTATCAAACCATATCACCAGAATAATCTCTAGATGTTTTTGCTCGCATTCTGTGAGTGTCAGTTTCAATGTATAGAACCATAAAAACCAAATAGATGAAGCGGAAGAAAATATGAAGAAAAGAAGAGATAGAAGGCAGGCCCGAGCGACGAACATATTTGAAAAGTGCAAATTGCAATGCCATAGTTTTAACGATTGGGTGGTGACAGAATGCGCGCCCATGCCCTGGGGTTGACGTACTTCCGTCCTCCCTGTCAGAAATTTTCCTCCTCTTCACAGGTGCTTATTATCATAAACATGCAAAACAATACTACATGTATTTAATAGAATTAGTTTGATATTTAATTTAGTTCTAAGTATAAAACTGAGACATATTTATTTATTTTTAAAAAAAATAATCCTTATAATAATTACACATGTTATAATTTTAGCCAATATATATCATTAGTAAAGATATTTTAACAAAAACAACACCTAATTATTAAAAATAGCTAATTTAACAAATATTTTTAATTTATTCAAAGTAGTCAATTAACTCTTATAATAAGAGTAGAAGATATAAAGGGATAAGTGAGACTTTGGGAAAGTTAATTAAAAATTAAAATAAAAAAACGTATAAATGATACTCCTCCAGTCCTTAATATAAGACCCCATTTAACTAATTTGATTAGATTAAGAAAGTTAGGTAAGTTAGTTAATTATAAAAATTGTGACACGTTTTTCCTAAAATACCATAATCATCTTTCTTAATACCTCCTCTCCCTCTTCTACTTGATTATAGTTGAGGGAGGTCCATAGGGGTACTTTAGAGAAAACTGATAAATATGAGAAATGGGTCTTATATTTAGGATCAAAACCAACTTAACAATTGGGTCCTATATTAAGGACCGGAGTAGTACTAATTTTTCTTTTTCTTTTTTTAAAAAGCCATTTGATGGGTATGCCTTTTGCCATTTCTCATGGTTGGTTCTCTTCAGCTGTCTCATGGTTTGAAATCTCTGTAACCCTAACGTTAAGCTGTATGCAAATTGATTTGTTAACTTTTGGTCTTTCATCGATCCTCATTTGGGTATGGGAGTTTAGTGCAATTAGACAACATGGGGACCTAAGTGTCGTTTTTTTTTCCGTGGTGCGTCCGTATCCTGAGCCAGCCCTTATATCACGGGAAACTCAATAGGCCCAAACTAATCCGTATTAGAAATATAATAGGAACCATTAAGATTAGGGTGCTGTATTCCCACATCTCAAACTCAACACTCGTGGTTAAACTGGAATGACTCATGCCATTCGATCCAACCTGTCGGGTTTTTTTATATAACATGTAAATATTTTTTTCCTATACGAGATACAAGATTTTGTTTGTAAAAATTTTTTTTGCATATCTTATTCAAGAAGTAACTTCACCCATTTTGAAAAAAAAAAATCATAAAAACAGACCATAGAAATTATAAAATCACAAATCAGGACCTATTACAATATTTGTATATTGACTTGCAAATAACAATAAATTTTTAACAAAATACCTGACATGCAATTTCACAATTTTCACGGTTTTTTTCCTAGTTTTCCTACCATTTTGTTGTTTTTCTATAACAAATCATTTCGTGGCAAAAAAAAAAGCATTTAAAGTGTTTATTGTTTCGTTTTTATTTTTACATATTATCCTCATCTATTTTTAAAATAATTTTCAAAATTATCCCCTTAAAAATTTTGGTATAACATTTAAATTGATGACCTCCTATTCTTCATATAAGAGCTAGTTTGACTTTAAATTTGATTGTAAATATAAAACCTCAATCTACTTTGTCTCTCATATTTATTTATTTATTTCAGAATAGTCCTTGTAGTAATTGCACATATAAAAAATTTATTCAATGGTAATTCTAGCTAATACATATTATTAGTAAAGGTATTCTAGAAAAATAACACCTATTTATTAGAAATAGCTAGCTTAACAAACTTTCTTAATCTACTCAAATTAGTCAACTAGCTCTTATATTAAAGACCAGATGTAGTAGATAATTAACAAAATTAAAACAAAATAGATGAATAATGAGCACGCAACAATATATTACCTTTATTCTTTGATGTAAGAGCTAGTTTGACTTTCAATTTGGTCTTAAATATAAGACACTAATCTACTTATCTCTCATATTGTTTATTTTTTTAAGATAATCATTGTAATAGTTATAAATGTTAAAAGTTTCGTCAAATAGTAATTTTAGGTAATACACTTGATTAATAAGGGTATTTTAAAAAAAACGATACATATTTATTACAAATAACTAATTTAACTAATTTTCTTAATCTACTCAAATTAATTTGTTAGTTTTTATATTAAAGACTGAAAGTAGTAATAATTAATAAATAATTTAAACGGAACAAACTCTGAACTGGTGCCTTTCACCCCAACAACATTAAAAGATAAGCATGGATAGGGCGCGTACCTTGAGCCACACCTCCGTGTTGCTTGGCAAATCAGGAAGATTCCATTTGTGAATTGGAGTGGGTAGCTTATACCAAGGAGAGAAATTTATTTTTAGTAGGATTCCAAACTAAGTTTAAAAAAAAAATTACTTGTAGTTTTTTTAACTCAATTAAAATTTAATATTTGAATTTTAACTCAATGCAAGATGGTCTGTATAGCTTTGATTTAATTGAAACTCAATATCTGAATTTTGATTTGATATGATTCTATCCTTATGATTTCAATAATTTAAAATGTTATAACTTTGATTAGATATAGTTCAGCCTATTAGGTTTTGATTCAGTATAACTAGGCCTATATAGTTTCATTTGCCATCTATCTTAGTTCTTATGATTTTAATAATTTAATCTTTGAATTTTGACTCGATACAACAAGTTGATCTATACTTTATAGGGGGAGAAAAGGGAAATGAGAAGCAAATAAAAAGATAGAGTGAATATACTTACATGGGCAAGGGAAAATACATGGGAAGGCAAAGGATTGAGATGGGTTGCCCAGGGAGGAGGCGAGTAACGCTTCTTGGCGAGGAAGTCAGAGTGGGATGCCTTGGAAGACTCTTCTGTGGCGCGTTTACGTTCCATCGTAAACGGGTTCTTGGAATTCAAATGTCGTGGTACAGCTTGAGAGCTGGGAAATCACGCAAGGCCGGGCAATGAAGAGTCAAGAGATGAGGAGGGGTCCTGGAGATAAGGAGGGGTCCTCGCCAGTCAGTGTCCTATCAATCAAACTCCTTACTTTATAAACTTACCGGCACATTAGTCTTTGTAAATTTGCGACACAGTGCATAATTATTCAATAATCACCATCAGTTTAGTTTCTAAGGTTTCATCTGTTACCAAATATTGAGAATGAGAGATGAGATTGAGATTGGGATGAAGAAAAGCTTTTTAAAAAATACTTAATATGAGAAATTACTTACTATTTGAGATTGATATACTATAGGAAAAAAATGACATTCTCCAATCCCATATATATGAATTTAGATAATCTCAAATAACAAAAATCACTTATATTGAGCACTGTTCTCAATCTCAGTCCAATCCTGTATATAATTCTTAATGCTTTCTATCAAGTGGGACCAAAGATTTCTGTGAATGGTCCCTTCATGCTGGATCATCATTTCCAATGGGGAAGGTAGCCGATCGCTATCACCAACGTGGACTTCGTTTGTCTGCTAGACTGGAATTTTAAGAGAATGACAGCATTGATATTAAGAGCAAGTTCTAAATTTACATTTGGTTAAAACAAAAACAAAAAAGGAACTCTCAGACAAAACGTCGGGATTGGCAAAGACGTCGTCGCCGTTCAAAGCAAATGACACGAAGACAGAGAGAGATCAGAGGGAGTGCAAGACGAAAGCAACTTGGCCAATAAGGCGTTCAATCCAAATTTTCAATATTAGTGATATTGAGCGATCGATCGGGATTAGGATTACAATATTAAATAACTAAAAATATATAAATAAATTTATAAACCATTAAATTTTAATTTCAACCGTTTAAAACTAAAAGAGTGGAAAAAAATATTTTAATACAAATATACAGTTAATGAATTATAATAGCTTAACTTTGTCTATATTTATTATATACTACCTCTGATTCTAATTATAAGAGCCAGTTGATTAATTTGAGGAGATTAAAGAAATCAGTTGAGTTAGTTATTTATCCTAAATAAATGTTGTCTTTCCTAAAATATTCTTACTAATCAAGTGTATTGACTAGAACTATTATTGTTAAAAGGGCTATTTTGAAAAAAAAAAGTATAAATATAAGAGACAAAATGGATTAGAGTCTTATATTTAGAATCAAAATAAAAATCAAACAGAATCTTATATTAAAGACCGGAGGTAGTAATATTATAATAATAGTTATAAAATATCAAATCTCTGATTCAAAAAAGACGGAGAGATCTCCACTCATCTTGATCCCCCAGAGAAGTGTTATTATGGCTCCATGACCCTGCTCTTATACATGTAATCTGAGTCCTTTTAGAAAGTAGAAACATTTTTTTTCCGTCGAAATCCCATTCATTTAATATCAACAAATCCCAACGAACTAATCTTTTAGGGAAGAACATCAATTGGCTTCATTGGAATCAAACAGAACCATGAACAACGAATTTAGGGGAAGATCACCAGGACTACTACCCCTGGCGAAAAGAAAATTTTAGCAATGAGGATAAAAAAAATTCAACCACAATTTTTTCCGGAGCAGAGCATTTGTGCTTGTCTGATTCAAAGATGATCAGTTAGAAACTGGTTGAAAAATTTTATTGCTTTTATAGTTCTTGCTTTCGAACTTGTACTCCAAGTTGGTGAGAAATGAGAAGGCAATATGGAACCAAGTTTTTTTGCTCCTGTCATATCACCCTAGACTATGAAGCAAAATAAAATAGATTATCAAAATATGATTGGAGAAGAAGAAAGCATGCTTGCCAGACCAACTGCATACTCAAGACTGGTCAAAATTTCACCCATCACCCATCTGCTCAATAAGATATAACACACTTCTATCAGAGACTCTGTGGTGTGTAAAATCTAAAATGCTGAGGTTCCACCTCTTGACTTCCCCATCAGTACGTCCTTGGCTTCATTTATCTTTGAGGCAAGGTAATGGCTCCCGCCAGCATCAGGATGATTTGCCATCATCACTCTCCTGTGAGCCTCCTTAATCTTCTCCATCACCGTTCTCTCCCTGAAGTGTTAATTAATTTGAGCTTCAATGTCAGTTGGCTCTAAATACACACAGTTTTTTTTTTGGGGGGGGGGGGGACAGTTCAATATTTTTCAGACAAAAACATTTGTTTTAAAAACAATTATGCACACCGCCAGTTAATTGTACATATTTGACAAATTCAGGGCCGCTCCAGAAAAAAGTTCACATAATATAAATAAGGACAAAACTTAAGTTTATAAGTCAATTTATAAGTGTACACACATATTTATAACTAGCAATGGCAAAATAATAAGATCCGTGCGAAAATTTACAAATCCTAATTTACAATACAAGAGTTGATAGAAAAATTAACAAGTATTTATAAATGAATTTACAAGTGAACACACGCATTTCAACAACCAATAATAGCAAAATAATAAATGGGATTGAAAAATTTAAACACATGGATATAAGCAACTGAACCTGAGTTTTATTTTATAAATAAATAGTCCAGTTACTAAGTGGGTTATCATGAATAGTCTATGCAGACGAAAATATACCTGACTCCCAGAATCAATGCTGCCTCCCGTTTAGTCATAACCTTCTCAAAACCACCAGGATAAAATCTTCGGGCCCGTGGAGTTTTAGGCCAAGCTTTGAATGCTTGCCATTTACTAATCAAATATCTTCCCCCCAACGCAGCAGCTGCCACACTAGTACCCAGGACCAGAGGAGATGCCTATAGAAGTGGCACAATATAGAGGTTATTCATTCATAAGATCACACATGAACGGAAAAAATCATAATAATACTATAACTGAGCAAAAAGGTGTCAAGCTCAACGCATAAGGAATAATTAAGATCTTGTGCCTCTTTTAAGAGAAGAACTAGCATTGACTTCCCATAGTGTCAGCACAGCAATCTGTCTAGTTATAAACAAATAATGGTATTGTGATGATTTACTAAAGTGTAATCAGTAGTTTCTTTTCATTATAGCAATTCTAACAAATCAATTCGATAAAATTTATATGGATGTGCAAACTACTTTTAGAATGAACCATTTAGTGTTACATATCAAGAGGAAATAAATGACATGAGGCATTTGATTGAAAACTTAGCAAACCTACGTTGAATATCAATATCAGTTTCTTTTTTCAGCAGAGTCTTATTAATAGTTGAAAAAAAAATTCATCTTATTTTTAAATACAACTAAAACTTTGTTGACTGCTAAAACTATAAAGTATCATTCACCTGAGTTTTATGGCAAAAAAACTTAGGAAAAAGTAAAACATCCCCAACTCTAAAAACAAAAACAAAGTAAAGAGACGAAAATGAAATGGCCGCCATTTCTATACTTTGGTACAGTTGGAAGGGAAAAAAATGCCGCAATTATCTAATCAACGTCATTAAAACCATGGAATTTGAATTTGGAATTTGAATAAGGAAAAGATTAAAATCAGTAGGACACACTTAAGAAATAGAATGAACCATTTAGTGTTATATATCAATATGAAATAAATGACATGAAGTATTCGATAGAAAACTTAGCAAGCCTAAGTTGAATATCAATGTCAGTTTCTTTTTTCAGCACAGTTTTATTAATAGTTAAAAAAAGTTCATCTTATTTTTAAACACAACTAAAAGTTCGTTGACTGCTAAAACTATAAAACTGTATCATTCACCTAAATTTATGGCAAAAAAAACTTAGCAAAAGGTAAACCATAGGACATCCCCAACCCTAAAAACAAAAACAAAGTAAAGAGACGAAAATGAAATGGCTCCCATTTCCATTCTTTGGCAAAGCTCGAAGGAAAAAAAAAATGCCTGCAATGACCTAATCAACATCATTAAAACCATGAAATTTGAATTTGGAATTCGAATAGGGAAAAGATTAAAATCAGTGGGTGCACACTACACACTTAGGTCATAGAAGTTGGTTTGCTCTCTCCTACTTTTGAGACAGGGTTTTAGCACGACATGCCAAGCCCAAATGCTAAATTAAATTAAGCCACTACTGTTCATATAAATAGCAATATAAAGCATACATGTTTAAGTTATATAAATTAAAGCGCAGTCAAGCAACTTCTTAGTTTCAGGTGGCCAATCATGCAAAAGTTCTGCTAAACGAACAAGCTCCTGTGGTCCCTGCCTCATTGACATATTCATCTGGTGATTATCGAAAAGAAAAAACAAGTGCAGCCAAAATCAACAATATTTGTCATAAATGGAAGTTTCATATTAGAGTTAGGTGTGGCTCAAAACATAAAAATTGAATCAATGATGAAGCCCAAAACTTGAATAGTTCGATATAGCACCCATGAAAGTAATCAGGTTCTATCAGTATAATTACTATTTATGTCAAAGAAAAAATTGAGGCAGGTCAATTGTTCTCATTGCATTGCTGTAACCCGCCATTTGCACATCAGAATGATGCATAAACACATTATTATTATGGTTCCGACCATCTACAAACTCCGTAGTTCATGGAAGGGGACAACGATTTCAGGTTTCCCCCCCCCCCCCCTTTTTCTATGGGAAAACAAGATTTAGAGAATACTGAATACTAGATATACATATGAGTGAAAGGGGTAATATATTCTAAATAACACTGAAGCCGCTAGAACCAATAAACAGTCTGACGGAATATTAGGAAATATTTACTTCGCATATTTAGCAAATTATTTTCAGAACAGTAAAGACACAATTCTTCGGAAAATTAATCTGTTTCTAGGGCTCACTTTTTCTCTGTGCAACAACCCGAGTTAATACCACAACCTATACATTCCATCACGCCAACTCATAATGAACCTGAGATTTCCAAGCCACCATCTTAGACATTCGAAATCCATAACCAATTGAAAACCAAGTTAAAAAGACAGCTTATTTCGTAGGATTATGCAAATGACGAGCCATTATTTAAAAACGATAGACGCCCATCTCTCAAGCTTTTATCTAATTTTAGCATTCAAGAACATGCGAAACTTCTGTCACCAAATACCTTGTTCTCAGGAAACAGAAAACCGAAGGGAAAAAAACTAGAGAAAAGAAAAGTTACCATCGTTATATCCCGGAAACTCTCGCAATGAATCCAACCAAGAAGCACGCTTTGTAGGAAAGGAGATCCTGATGGCTCTATGAAAATAAAGCTGATTTATGAAGTTCCAGAGTGCTGCGGTAGAACTTGCAGAAGCAGAAAATTTTGGAAAGTAGGAAGGAAAGGGAGATATTTATACATGAATAAGTCATGCAGATCACAGGCTCTGGTAAGCATGCCATTCCCAACTTGAGCTTCAAGAAACTCCTTGAACCGCAAATGAAGAACAAATTTGAGGCGGCGACAATTTCCTGAACAGAAAATTCTGGAAGAAATCTTATTTTATTCCATGCTCCATTGAATATATGGTCCAGTGATTTGTTTATGGGAGCCCACCAAAATTGGGTTATCTCGGCTCACTTATATTACTTGGGCCGTCAGGTGCTGGTCTCAGGCCCACATCCCGCACCAAGAACTCTATAACAGCCGCCGCCGCCGCCGCCATTGCTAGTGTCTTGAGTTTTATTGGTTCTCTGTGTTGATCCTAATGGAAAAGAATTAAGTCATAGTTCTCAAGGTTATGAGTTCCAGTCCTGCTGCTATATGAAAATTGTATTGTAGGCGATTTGTAAGTACTACTGTAAATGCTTTATAAATCTAGAGGAATGTCTTGGTTTTGATGAACTCTTAAAACCAATTTACCTAAATTTTTTTATATAAAAAAATTCTTTGTTTTTTTCTTAGAATGATATTTAAGTCCTTATAGATGAATTTTATGACAACCATGTCCCAAAATATTTGCAGGAAAAATGAGTAGTTGCAAATGGATTGAGATGGTTATAGAAATAAATGTTATCAAAATTATTTAAAAAAATTACAATGCGTCTCAAAGTATGATAGATTTTCACTACTTTGCAATTGTAACCATATTGGGCGAATTCAGAACTATGCTTTACCTTCATTTGTTGGTCAAGCCTCCTTAAAATTGTCACATGAGAGATCATACTATATAATACTCCCTGGCCTGACTTAGAGATGGAACAAAGCTTAGGAATCCGTCTTTTTTTTTAGGCCACTTACTCGAGATCTGCGTTAACAATTAATAAATTGTCTAAACCATAATTATGTCCTATGCTTTGGGCCTTAATTAGCCTTAACCACCCCTTTTTTTTTTTTTGTTCAAAGCATGCGTTGACCGGATCCTCTTGGTAGGTCAAGGCCTGCATATTGTTTTATTACATTGTTATTATAAAAATAATACAAGGGGGGTGGGGAACAACCATGCACATGCTGAATTAATCACATGGGGCTTAAAATATGATTTTTTATGTTTACTTCATGACCTACAAGTAACAACAAAATACAGTCACAACATTTTGCAATGCTCATTTGGTTTATAGAAAATCCTTTACTTATATAATGAGTACTCTTCTTTTTTCACATTATATATGAAATTCAATTATGACATTTGCATTCGAACGAGTGTGGTTGAGAAATATAATTATATTGGTAATCTGGGTGGAATAAATTTGGAAAGAAAAAAAAAGAAATAATCTCATCCACAGGCACATGTATAGCATGACCTCTATTTAATTTTAAAGACTAACCTAAAAGTTTTAATTTCACAAAAAGGGTAACAATCTATATGATTTTACAATGTAAAAATCATAGGTGGTTATAGTATATTTATTTACGCTAAATAATAGAAAACCATATACTTTGGTCATTATGTGATATAATATAATATAATATTATTAAACAAGGGATAAAGATAATTATTGGGACATAATTTTTCAGTAGACATGCTTTTATTTATAAGACACATTTAGGTGTCTGAAATTTCAACAAATTTTTTATCCCTTTTTTTTGTGCGTATAAAATTTTTATCCTATTAACTACATACTATATTACTGCAATGACTAACTAACTCTACATCGCTCTTTAAGTCTTAGCAGCTTTTAACTACTCACTCTCTCCATCCATAAATAGCAATATTTTTGGGAAAAATATTTTTACATATTTATTATCCTTAATCAATTTTTTCAATTATCTGTATCTTATACATAGGATAAGAGAGAGTATTATTTAGAAAAATTTCTCAAATTTAATAATTGTAGTTATTGGCCAAATATTTTTTTATCAATTAATCGTAGTATTAATGATGGTAGTTGACCGGATTCGTACAAGTCAAGGCCTGCAAATTATTTTATCCTGGCCAGCGTATAGGGATTATCTCAACGTTTTGACTTGAATAATTGAAACCGTCAAGCGCGCAACGTTTCATAAGGGGCTACTCCAAGTCTCCAACTTGTTCACGGGGCAGAGAAAGATCGCTTGGAGCAAAACACAAGACATTCTCCTGTCTTGACCAAACTGCTAAGTTTCTCACCGTACTACCCAGTTGTCCCCCATTTCACTTGCCAAATAAAAGCATAAAATAATACAAAAATCCAAAGCTTTTCAATGCCGTCCCGCTGGGCCTAGAGAAATAAAGCAATAACCAATCAAACGATGCCATGTCCAATTCCAACCCTTTTTTCTTCTGTTCACACTGGTCATGTGGAACTCTTCAAAGTCTTCTCCTTTCCGTCAGCCTCAGCCCCATTCTGTGTTGAATGTGTTCTTTCCCTCGTTCTTTTTCCTATTTACTGGTGCTTTCAACTTGCTTACTTCCTTCCTTTTTGAGATTTCTCTACCCTTCAGGAGAATTTCATCTTCGTTCGTGACATGATCGCCTAGCTTCCTTGACTTTGAATGGGGAGATTCCGGCACTGCCGGCTGTTGGTGAAGTTTTGAGAGTACATTGTCGGGATTCAACTTCACCACAGGTCTTTCTCTTTCTGGGGTTTCCATTTTCTGGTACTTATCTTCATCTGTTCTTGTTATTACTTGTTTATAGCCCATTATATTGTCTTGCTACTTTGTGCTTCTGTTCTTCCTCTGGTTCTTTGCCATTTTATTCATTATGTTTTATCACGTTCAGTACTGTATGTGTTCGCCCTGGAAACACACATATAGAGGCAGGTAAACTTCGAAAATTGCAAATTTTCGAACATGAAATAGGATTAAATTAATGACACTATTCATTAGTTTGAGAAAGTGAGGGTGTGAATTCATTTGCTGTGGGAATATCGAATAATGATGGAGTATGGAGAATTGAGGATATAGGGCTCCAATGCACAACTTCTGAATCCGTTTACCCTTTATGAGCTGTGAAATTCGAAATCGGCGCCTGGACGTACTGTTACTGATATTAGGATAGTGGCATTCCGGGAGTCTTGCTTATTGGGTTTGACGTTGTGGTTCAAAAAAC